ATTATTGAGATGGAATCTTTTTATGTTGTTCATTTAGGTCTCAACTCCTGGGTTCAAACAGTGTTCTTACCTCAGCTTTCCAAGTGGCTGGCTGGGCCTACAAGTATATACCGCCATGCTCAGCTTTGGGGGACAATCTTAATTTAATCTCTATATTCAAGAACTCGAAATCTCAACAATATTAATGAAAGGTATATATTTTCCCTTTTCGTGTCTAATGTAACAGTCTGTATATAGTAAGAGCTCAATAATTTATTAAAAGCAAAGCAAGAGCAGGGTGCTAGTGGCTCATGCCTGCAATCCTAGCTACTCAGGAAGTTGTGATCTGAGGATGATAGTTCGAAGCTAGTCTGGGCAAGAAAATCTGTGAGACTCTTATCTCCAATTAACCACCTAAAATCAGAAGTGTCACTGTGGCTCAAAGTGCTCTAGCCTTGACCACAAAAGCTCAGGGATAATGCCCCATGCTGACAAAAAAATGAAAGAAAGACTGAAGGAAATAAGAGAAAAAGAGGAAGAGGAGGGAAAGAGAAAAATGATGATATAAAAATAAAGTAGAAAAAATATTTTACAAGAACCCAATATTCTGTAATAACCAACAACCTAACATTCATTTGTCTTCCTTAACAAATGTCCTAAGTGTACTTCTAAAGATTTTGTTTCTAATTTGTATTAAACAAACAAATGTATCACAGTAAATGGTTTAAAGTGATGGTTCTCATAGTGTTTTGTGTAATATTTGGGAGCCAGACAAAGTGTTTTCCCCTATTATAAGGTTTTCCAATGATCAATATCACCAACCATCAAGAATATATAAATAGATATCCCATCACATATATTAGAATGGTTAACAGTAAAAAGTCAAAAGGTGCCACGTATTTAAAGCCTGTAAATCTAGCTGCTGAGGAGGCAGAGATCTGTGAATCAAGGTTCAAAGCCAGCCTCAGCATACAAATCTGAGAGATTCTTATCTCTAACAAGCAAAAAGCCAGAAGTGATAGAGTACAAGCCTTGTACCAAAAAAGGCCCAGTAGTGGCAACCACACACAAAAAAGATCAAAAGGTGAAGTGATATGTAGAGAAAAACAAGCACAAAAATCCTGTTTAATATGGGGGGAGGATTGTAAATTGGCACAACCAGTGTGGGAAAAAAAAACACAGAGACTTCTCAGAATGTTAACTGCCATGTGAACCAATAATTCACTACTACAGACATATCAAAAGGAAATGAAGCCAGGTGCTGGTGGCTCATGTCTGTAACCCTACCTACTTAGGAGGCTGAAATCTTAAAATATTAATGCTAATTAAGAATCATTGCCTTCAGAATAAAGATTATTACTAAGGACATTTTATTTGTACTGTGCTGTATCTTTATAAATTAATGACAATAAATGAAATTATGTGAAGACATGTTTATCTTGCTATCTAGTATTTTGGTGAGGCAGTATCAAACATCCCTCATACATCCCCTGGCCTCAAAGATGGGCACCATATCTGCTCACGGTAGGAACTCAGAAAATGTTTGCCTACCAGCCTGCCCTACAAGTGTGAGATTTACCAACAGCCATAACTGTGTGTATCAATTCCTTAAAATCCCTTTAAAGCTGGGTGTCAATAGTCTGTGCCTATAATCCCAGCTACTCAGGAGGCTGTGGTCTGAGAATTACAGTCTAAAGCCAGCCTGGGCAGGAAAGTCTATGAGACTCTTATCTCTAATTAACTACCAGAAAACCAGAAGCTGAGCTGTGGCTCAAAGTGGTAGAATGGTAGCCTTGTGCACAAAAGCTCAAGGATAGCACCCAGGCCCTGAGTTCAAGCTCCACAATAGACCAAATAAAAAGTAGGAGGGGAAAGTAAAGTAAAGGGGTGAGATTGATTGGAACATACTGTAAAACAATGTGTAAATCTAATAATGAAACCCTCTCTGTATAAGCTAGTAAAAAGGTAAAATGAAAACATATACCTACATATACACACATGTGCATCATGCAAACACATATACTGCAATGGTTCTGTTTCTCGAAGAAGCCTGAGAGACAGTTAATAGGACAGAGATCTAAGCACAAATATCACCCCAATGGAGTGGCTGCCTATGCTTGTAACTTCCAGGGAGGTGTAACTAGACAAGATCCTTAGGCAAACTGGCAGAGAGCCCACAGAGCAGAAGGCCATGGAAATATTTCAGCACTTATAATAACTATTCCCTGTGTTATAATTTGCAGTGAATTACTTCAGGTAAAAATCTTTATATTGCATTTGCTTTAGTGTGTATGTATGTGTGCGTGCATACACGTGTCTCTGTGTGTGTGTGTGTGTGTGTGTGCACATGTATATAAGAAAAAGATCTTTGCTGCACTTTGATTTTACTTTTTAGATATTCGCATCAACAGTTCTGAATTAAGGCCTTACATCTTTGGGTTACTGCATCGGAAAGCCACATGATAGAATAATATCACAAACATCTGTACCTACCAGGATTTAGGAATTAAACAATGCATTTCAATATCTCCCAATGCACATTTCACAAGAAGCCACGTTTCATAGGGCGGCACTAGAGAATAGTCTGTCATCTTGTCTTTTGTGGCTTTAACTTTCCAATCCCATTTTACAGTGAGTGCAGCCCACTCAAGGAAGCCTCCTGCTCTCTCCTCCATGGCATTCATCTTCCACTTTCTCTAGTTTCCTTCCACTTTGACTTCTCTTTCCAATTCAGAATGCTTATCATAAGAAATGAAACGACCAAAGAGAAAAAGAATATATTTAAGTTGGCTCATTGTGCATTTTCTTCCTAGTAAGGAAACTAAACTGAAGCCAGAAAGTTCTTTGGTAAATAGAATGAGAGAAAAGAAAACCAAAATCCTTGAAGGATAATACCATCCATTTTTGTGGCTTTGACATCCCTCCATATCTGAAGAGTTACATTGCCTTCTTTGCAGCCAGCTCTTTCCCGAGTTCCAATTTTTCTCTGAACTGCTGCTTGGATATTTCTCTGCCTGGATAACCATTATTATTTCAACTCTGACATCCCAAAGTATGAATTCATCTGAACTGTAAATCTATTTCTAAAAATAAATATTAATACTTATTTTTATTTTATTTAATGTAAACCTATCACTGTATTTTCTAACATTGTCAAAATATTAAAAATTCAATTAGCATACATTAGCAATAGGAGGGGGTTTTCATTGTGACATTTCCACACATGCCTACGTTGTATTCTGAATAGTCTTCCCCACTATCACTCTCCCTTGGTCCCTCCACCCTCCCTCCCTCTCTCTCTCTCTCTCTCTAATGCCACTATTGGGGCTTGAACTCAGAACCTTGTGCTATCCCTTAATTTTTTTCACTCAAGGCTGATGATCTACCACTTCAGCCTCACAACTTCCTCTTGTTTACTGCAGGTTAGAAATAAGAATCTCTCCAATTTTCCTCCTCTGGATGGCATTGGACTGGGATTTTCAGATGTCAGCCTCCTGAGATTTAAGATTATAGGAGTGAGCCACCAGAACCTAGAATTCCCCTTTCTAATACTATTTCAACAAGTAATATTTATTTTACTCATTTTTTTCTTACTTCTTGGTGTTCTTTATGCAGCACAATGACAATTTCAGGATAGTTTCCACTATGTTTCTCCTCTTCAAAAGAATAGAATGTTTGGAAGCTCCTTGCTTGGAGTTTATGATTTTGAAATGAAAAGCAAATTAAATACTCACTGGAACAATAAAACTGTGGAAAGAATAGAGAACTGTAAACAACAATAAAGTATTAAGCCATCACAGTGGCTCCCAAAATCTCGGGAGGCAAAGATCTGGAGGATGGATCAAGGATCCAAATCAGCTAGGACAAAAAGTTAGCAAGACCCTATTTCAACCTAACTACTGAGTTTGGTGGGGCACATCTGTAATTGTGTTGTGGAAAATACTAAAGGAAGAAACAAGAGTGACACTTGGAGAATTCGAAAACTCAGGTTTGTTATTTCAGTGGGCCCAGAGGAGTTCCTACCTCAAAGACAGAGCCCCAGCCAACAGGAGTTTAATCCTTTTATAGCGTACAGATGTTCTCTAGTGGTTCCCGTATCTCAAAAATTATTTGAAGTTCAATGGTCAAAGTAGTTTCTGGTCAAGCTTGCTTTGGCAATAGGAAGCTTTTCCTTACGAAGTTGAGCTAGCTCTGATAATGACAGCTGGGGGATTGCAGTCTGAAGGCAGCAAAATGGGGTGGCTGGGGAGCGGGGTGGGGGGGTGTGGGGTGGGGCACCTGCTGGCAGAATAAAGAAAAAAAGTGAAAGATACAGGAGTTGGGAGGAGAAAAAAAGAATTCTGAGAGACATGAGGGTGAGAAAGGACTATTATGGGACAAAGTTGCGAGTAATGGAAATTGAGGGAAAAAAAAAAAAAAGGACTTTCCACAGAGCTGAAGTAATAGGAGAGACTGGATAAATGCGAACAAGTGTATCCAACAGGAAAATGTGAGCGTAGAAAATGAACCGAAAAGAATAGCTGTGGCCCAAGCCCTGACTTACGTAACTTTTACCCCTGTGTACATCACCTTTACAATAAACGTTTACGAAAAAAATAAACTATGGCCGAAATGAGGCAACAGGAAATGGCGGGCTAGGGGCAAGCGGAGCGCGGCGGGAAGGCCAGGCCGCCAAGCACACGAGGCCGGAAGTTCGAGCGGCCCCGCCCCAAAGAGAAAAAAAACAGGAAATGCAATTTTTCTCAGGAAGATGGCCGCCACAGGTGTGACGTCAGTGGCCTCGTGCAAACACACATCCGGGTATCCTGGTAACAAGCAAGTTCCACGAGAATCCAACGGTTTTCTTGGTCAGTTAGGAGCAGTCTTGGGACGAGACTAGTCCTCCGGCTCCTGACTGGGACTTTGCGTGCCAGAGCCTGGCTTCGCAGCTAGGCCTGGACTTGTACAACTGACTCTAGATTGAAGCTAATGCCTTCTAGAAAGCTTACCTATCTGCCACAAAAGTGAATTTTGAGGCAATCATGTCTCATTTTGTTGTAAAGGATCGATGGGACTTGGAAGACGAACTCAGGTCTGACCGGCGAGATGCTCCGGCAGCCTCCAGTAGAGACCTTGGCCACCACTCTGCGGCAGCGTCCAGCAGAGACCTTGGCCACCACTCTGCGGAGTCAAGATTTTCTCAGCAGAGAAAATCGGCCATGCTGCAAGAAAATCCTCAGGACAAACAGGAAAGCAGAAGGTCTTACAGTCGTCGCCATTCCCGCCATGCTGGGCGGCGCGGCCAGCGGAGCGCTCCCGAAAACCGTCCTCATGACCCTCGAGGAAGAGGCAGCGCGACTGACCCTGGCTTCCGACGCCCTCGAGTGGATTCTTCTGCAAACCAGCAGCAGCCGGCATACGAAGACCCACGAGCGGGCTTCTCTGGCTCCAAATATTCTCGAGGAAGATCTCTTCAGGAGAGAAATACTCCGTTGCCACAGCACTCATCTCGAAGCCATGGTGACAACCGAGGGAGTTACTCCTCCCAGCACAGCCGGCACTACGACTTCCATCCTCAACGGCGAGGGCAAGGACGAGGTCGAAGCCGAGAAAGACGAGAGAGACGCGCTGCCTGGCTGAAAACACTTCGAGGGCAGCAAGCCACTCATTCCGGTCGATTCAGCAGGGAAGGAGCAGGTGCAGAGGCTGCCGCCAGCAACTACAAGGCCCCAAACCCAAAGGCAGACGGAAGCAACAAGTCTGACGTGGAGAACGCTCAGGCGAACACCATCACCACACCATTGATGCACCCTCCGCTGCCTTTGATGCCACCTCTGCCATCCATATTGGCTCCTCCACCGCTCCCGGTGCCTCCTCTACTGCCCATGGTGACTCCTCAACTGCGGATGATGGCTCCGCCACCGCCGCCCATGGTGCCCCCTCCAGTGCCCAAGATGCCGACTCCAGTGCCCATGGTGCCCACTCTAGCGACCAAGATGCCCACTCCAGCGCCCATGGTGCCCACTCCGGCACCCAAGATGCAGACTCCAGTGACCAAGATGCCCACTCCAGCGCCCATGGTGCCTACTTCGGCGCCCATGGTGCCTGCTCCAGCGCCCATGATGCTCACTCCGGCACCCAAGATGCAGACTCCGGCAACCAAGATGCCCATTCTGGCACCAAAGATGCCCACTCCGGCGCCCATGGTGCCCACTGCGGTGACCAAGATGCCCACTCCGGCGCCCATGGTGCCCACTCCAGAGCCCAAGATGCCTACTCCGGCGCCCATGATGCCCACTCCGGCACCCAAGATGCCCACTCCGGTGCCCATAATGCCGACTCCAGCACCCAAGACGACGACTCCGCCACCCATGATACCCACTCCAGCACCCAAGCTGCCTACTCCGGCGTCAAAGATGCCCACTCCGGCGCCCATGATGCCCACTCCGAGACTCAATAGGCCGACATCGGCACCCATAAAGCCAACTCCAGTGTCCAAGATGCCGACTCAGGCACCTAAGAGGCCCACTCTGGAGCCCATGATGCCTACTCCAGCACCCAAGAGGCCAACACCAGCACCCATGAAGCCGACTCCAGCGCCCAAGAGGCCCATTCCAGTGCCCATGATGCCCACTCCGGTGCCCAAGATGCCCACTCCGGTGCCCATGTTGCCCACTCTGGCGCCCATGGTACCACCTCCACTGCAGCCACCACTCAATCTTTCATCGTTGCCTACCAAACAATGTAAGCAGCCTGAATCCACCAAGGCCAACAATCCAGATTTCACTCAAGCTGCTCGCAATAAAGCTATAGCAGAGAAGGCGATTGAAATTGTTCGAGAATACTGCCAGATCAGCATGACTTTCATTACCGTGGTAAGGATGCTAATTTCAAAAGATAATTCTTTAGAAGTTCGTCTCCAGTGCGCCTTACGAGAGAAGTTACGAGAGATTGGTGACAACTTCGCAAAAGAATTAAGTGATTTCATCAATGAATATGATGCTCAACTGGCGAGAGAGCAGGCAAAGAAAAATTAGTACTCAGGAAAAAAATCAATAAAGTTCTAAATGTTATTCTGAATTGTGTGAATTTTTAATATATAGAATTTTGGTAATTTAGAGAGATACTTTGATACTTGATATTTCCAATAGCAAGTAAACATTTAAAAGTCTATTTTTATTTAATCAAAATGTTAAAGAAATTAAAATATGAAAATTTTCCTGTATTTAAAGCCCTTAATTCATATTCAGCCCAATACCAAATGATGGTTAATAGGTTAAGCTTTGCAAAAGCAGTCCTGAAGAGCAGTCTTGTGAATGTTGGTTCTACAGGGTAGGGTCATGGTTTTGTTAAGTTATTTTGGTTTGTTTTTTAGCTTTTGGGTTTTTTTGCTTTTTTGCTTTTTTTAGTTTGCTATTTTAATTTGTTATCTTAATTTAATTTATTTACTTATTGTTGTCAGTTATGGGGCTTGAACTATGGGCTTGGGCGCTGCCCTCAGCTCTTCAGCTCAAGGTGAGTGCTCTACCACTTAAGCCACAGCACCACTTCTGCTTTTCTGGTGGTTTTTTGGAGATGAGAGTCTCACAGACTTTCCTGCCTTGGCTGGCTTTGAATTGTGATCCTCAGATCTCAGCCTCCTGAGTAGCTAGTATTACAGGCGTGTGCCACCAGGACCCAGCCTATTATTTTTTAAATAGGTTCTTAGCTCTTTTCTGTTTGGTGGATTGTTTTCTTTTAAGTTTGTTTAGATATTTTTGTTTTGATTTCTTAATTTTCTTTAGTTTTTCTATAGTTTTGGTGGGAGGTTGCTCTAGATTTAGTTACTTTAGTTTCTACTATTTTGTAGATTTTAAAAGATTTTCAAGTTTGTTTTCCTGATTTGTTTGCTTAGGTGGTTTCAGTAAGAGTGTTGTTGTTCATACAACGAGACCCGGGAATGCAGTGTCTGGTAGGCAGAAGGTGAACCACACCATGCGGTTATGAGCAAAGTTTATTGGCACATCACATGCATATATACAGCATACAGGCAGTAAATTTGCTGTCATGAGAAAGAAATTAACCTTAAAAGTTTTCTGAGATTGTGGACAATGAGAATTAACAACCTTTAGTCAGTGAGCAGGAAAAGTTAATCGTCAACAAAGGTGAAGGGGTCTCATGTGATCAAAAATTATAAAGAGGAAGCAAGGTGCAGGTGGGCTCCCTTAGAAACACAAAAGGGGATAATGAGGCATTGTTCTACAGGATTATTCAGATGAGCACCAACAGCACTTTCCTCACGTCCTCCACCAAAGTGGTCTTGGTGGGGCATCGAGACCTTCCAGATAGGGAAAGAGCTTCCTCACTCCAGGCTGGAGGCTGTAGCTGGGTACCCTGACTTTTGCCAGGATTATGGAGGAGCATTCTCCTTGTTCACCAGCATACATAAACCTCACACAGCACACAAATCCTCAGGCAGGGTCATGCATGCAAGTCTGTGTCTTCAACAAGAGGGGATGGTGTCAGATTCTAAATGAAGTCACTTTGCACATGCCTTTTCAAAACTAACCAGAGCCGGGAGATCAAAAGAAAATTGTTAATAGGATGCCTATCTAATGTTTATACTTGTCTTTCTTCTAACTGGACAGGAACTTGTATCTATTACCTGCTATTTCTAATTATAGTGGGTCTCCCATCCATACTATATAGCCTAGAGAATGCACGTCCAGCAATGGTAAAGGCAAGAGGTTTGGTGTAGGGCTCCTTCAGCAGTTTGGGTCCATGGAGAAGGGCCAGGAGGTAGACTGAGAGACAGAGGAAGGGGTGTCCAGCAACACCTGCCACTATCCCTTGTAAGGTTTGTAGAAAGGAGCTCTCCATGTGGTTTGTTCAGGCGGAAGAGTTTATTAGGGAGAGGTGAACTGCCTGCCCACACAGGATGTAGTGTGCAAAGGCAACACCAGATGGAGGTGTACAGAGAGTGAACTAATCATGGAGATTGATTATATAGGAAAAGGGGGAGGAGGTGTGGCCACAGTGAAGAGCAGTTAAAAAGGTGTGGCCACAGGGATAACCTCAGAGCCTGGGGGACCTCCCACTGCCCCAGGTGTGCCAGTTACCTGGGTTACAGATGCTGGGCAGGGACTTCTAGGGAAGGGGTCATGGAGGGAGAACAAAAGGAAGGGGCCATTTTTCCCAGGCAGACCTGATAATGTTCTTTTAATGTTCTTTTTTTTTTTTTTTTTGAGTCCGGTCATGGGGCCTGAACTCTGGGCCTGGGCACTGTCCCTCAGCTCTTCAGCTCAAGGCTAGCGCTCTACCACTTGAGCCACAGCGCCACTTCCGGCTTTTTTTTTCTTTTTGCTTATGTGGTGCTGAGGAATCGAACCCAGGGCCTCTGGCATGCAAGGCATGCGCTCTACCACTGAGCCACCTTCCCAGCCCCTCTTTTAATTTCCTTATATTTAATTTTGTTAAACAAATTTTTAATTCTTTTAGGTTATCCTTTTTGCTTGATTTTGTGGGTGGGGTTGGTTTATTGTTTTTTAAAAATTTTTTTCAGAGGGAGAGCAATTTGGTAGGTATTGCGGCTTGAAGTCAGCAGCCTCACACTCCACTTATTTGCCCACAATTGGCTCTCTACCATTTGACATATGCCTCCAGCTCAGCTTTTTGCTAGTTATTTTGGACATGAAGTCTTGAAGACTTTTCTGCCTGGACTGGGTTTTAACAACAATCATTGTATCTCAGCCTCTTGAGTAGGATTACAGATGGTAACCACCAGCATCTGCATTTCTGCATTTTATAGTCAACAATGGTAGGTGAAAATATTAGCAATTTGAGTTGTGATTTTATTGACCATTGATTGCTTTTCTTAGGCTTTCTAACATAACACTAAGCACATAGCTGTAATAAACCAGTAATTTGGTATCATAGATGCTGTTTGCTTTCAAAACAATTCTCAGTGATAAAATAGAACACTTAAAACCTCTGAGACAACTTGGGCTAAAATAATAATCCAAGCTACTCAGGAGACTGAGAGCTGAGGATCTTTGAAGCCAGTCTATGAGGGAAAATGACATGAACTGAAAGCATTCACCTTTCCCACTGACAGCCATATCTTAGAATTGTCCTTACTGCCAATACTGCTGCCTCATCCCCTTCCTGTCCTTCTGAAGAAACACACCTGGAGGGCTTCAAAGGAGCCTGAGACCAAGGCCTCCTTTGATGTTGACACCCATGGACAACACAGATGCTTTTGATACTTTGAAATTCCTCAGTCAAAGGTTGGGAACAAGGCTTAGTGGTAGAGTGTTTGCCTAGCATGCATGAAACCCTGGGTTGAATTCCTCAGTACCATATACACAGAAAAGGCCAGAAGTGGCACTGTGGCTTAAGTGATAGAGCACTAGCCTTGAGCAAAAGAAGCTTGGGGACAGTGCCCCAGGCCCTGAGTTCAAGCCCCAGGACTAGCAAAAAAGTTTCCTCAGTCAAAATAACATTGCTCTCTGACTCTGCCTTCATCTCACCCCACTTCCATCTGCCCTGCCTAACTTCACATTGTAAGGGAGGGAGCACCACTTTTCTTCAGCCAGGTTGAAGGACACTTGGTCTCCCTTCTCAGGTTTTCAGCCCAAATGAGCCTGTTGGTCTTTAGAGTTTCTGCTCTTTATTCATACTCTTAATTCTAGAAATATTTCCTTATAGCCTGAGCAGACAAATCCAAGAGACTATTATCTCCAACTAAGTAGGAAAATCCAGATTATATATGTATATATGTAAATAGATAGATAGATAGATAGATATGTCGTAAGGCTTGAAGTAAGGGCCTAGGTGCTATCACTGAGCTCTTTTGCTCAAGGCCAGTGCTTTGAGTCACAGCTCTACTTCTGGTTTTCTGGTGGTTAATTGTAGATAAGAGTCTCACAGACTTTCCTGCCCACGATGGCTTTGAACCATATTGCTCAGATCCCAGCCTCCTGAATAGACAAGATTACAGGCCTGAGCCACCAGTGCCCAGCAATCAGAAAATATATTTCAATGCTAGTTCAATACATAATTTCTTCTTCCCTTCCCTCAAATGACATATAACATTTATAGTAATGTTGATAGAGTTTTAAGGCTCTGGCTAGAAGATTACTTCCCCTTCCAGAACAGCTGATTACAGTTCCACAACTTCTTAATTAGGCTTTCATGCAGAGCACCTATAGACCTGCTCTAATCACTCCATGACTCAATACCAAACTAATGTAGACAGTGTTGAGACAGGCAGATAACAGTGTGTGTGTGTGTGTGTGTGTGTGTGTGTGTTTGTGTGTGGACTAGGTGGCTAAAGATGATTGAACAGTGTTAAAATTGACTATTTGCAACCATGCAAACAGAACAAGAAAAACTGTTGGGGATACTATTTCTTAGAGAGGAAGAGGTCAAGGAGTATGATGGAGGTGAAATTGTAATATCCCATTAATATCTATGGAGATATAAAAATAATATCCACCCCCTATATAACTGATACAAACCAATAAAAAAAATATGGTCTATGTGTGCCATAGCCATTTGTAAGACCAGTCTGCTGATCTGCTCATGCCTGAGGAATGCCACAAGATTCCTCCTTCCCAAAGCCTTTACCGCATGATCATCAAAAAGTACTAATAAACCAGAAGTGGCTCTTACCTGTAATCCTAACTACTCAGAAGGCTGATATCTGAGAATCAGGGTTTGAATCCAGCCCAGGCAGACAAACCTAGGAGACTTGCCTCCAATTAACTAGCAAAAAGCCAGAATTAGAGGTGGGGCTAAAGTAATAAAACACCAGACTTGAGTGAAAGTAATCTAAGTGAAAGCATGAGGCCCTGAGCTTAAGCCTCAGTATCAGCACGTGCAGCGCGCGCACGCGCCTGTGCGCACACACACACACACACACACACACACACGTTCTGATAAATGTCCCACAGGCCAGAGAAATGGGTTTCCTATCCTGATCACAAGGACATTTGCTCAAGAAAATAAAATTCTCCTTAATATATGTATAGTACTTCCTTTGTCTACCATTAAGTAAAGACCCCTAATTAAGGCCCAATGTTTATGTACTACATATTATTAACATCATTATAACAATGCCTTGCAGCATTGGATATTCAGAGTTTAATTATTACATAACCATTTGCCACTCAAAACTATCCAACACAAAGAAAGGGCCTAGGTCCTTAAACAAGCCTTAAATTATCCCAGATACCATTCCTCGGGGTCTTGGAGCTCTTTTGCAAAGGCCTTCTCTCACTCAGTGGAGTATATTCCCACCTTATTTCCTTAACTTTACTTTCATTCCAAGAAACCTGGGCTTCTCTTGTTATTCCTGTACATTCCATTCAATTCTTAAGATGTCATCAACCTGGAGTAACACCTCAGACCACAGTCAGGTAACAATCTATGCCCCAGGAACAGCTGAAATTATTCAAATTAGCCAATTCTGAACCTGCTTTACCCCGCCTCACCAGTTCCTTTCCACAGAATAATAAAGGCCAAAGTCCAGAGGTCCATCTTCTTCTCCCTCTGCCATGGGATCAACATTGGGACTTCCATATTAACTGTCCCCTGCATTACTCCTCACCATTGTGTGTACTCCCTCTGTTGGGATCTGTGAGTATCATAAGTGGCCTTTTCATTCTCCTTTTCTGTCCTTCTTGTTCTCTTTTTTTTAAGTGGTGGTGAGCAATGAACTCAGTGGCCTCATCTACCATGTATACCATTTTGAGTCATGCTCTTTGGCTTTTCACTTGTTTTTCAAATATAGTTTCCCACTAACTTTCTCCATGCCAGGTAAACCGTAATCATCAAAGTAGCTGGAATTACAGATATGTACCACCACACTCAGCTCATTTTTGAAGTAGAGTCTCTCAAATTTTTTTGCCTAGGCTGGCCTCTAAATCTGATCTTTCTATTTTTCACCCCCTTTTGTATCTGGGATTACAGGCCTGGATCACCATGTCTGACATAAACTGTCTTTCAATGACAATCCTCTCTTGATGTTGGTCTTTCTAACACATATATGCAATTATTACCTATTACACACTAGTATATATTAATATATTATTACATATTATGTATGTGCCCATATACATAATTGAATTTTATCCATTACTTTTTATACATGTGTTGAATTAGAATACTGCATCCTATAAACAAACCTAAATATTGTATGTCAATTAAAAAAATGAAACAGCCAGGCGCTGGTGGCTCATGCCTATAATCCTGGCTACCAAGGAGGCTGAGATCTGAGGATAACAATTTGAAGTCAGCCTGGGCAAGAAATTCTGTGAGATTCTTATCACCAATAAACTTATTCAGAAAAAAGCTGGAAGTGGTGCTGTGGCTCAAGTAGTAGAGCACTAGCCCTGAGCACAAAGAGGCTCAGGGACAGTACCCAGACCCTGAGTTCAAACCCCTGGGAGTGGAAAAAAATTCAAAAGCCCAGCTGGGCACTGGTGGCTCACGCCTGTAATCCTAGCTACTCAGGAGGCTGAGATCTGAGGATCACAGTTCAAAGCCAGCCCAGGCAAGAAAGTCCGTGAGACTCTTATCTGCAATAAACCACTAGAAAGTGGTAGAGCGCTCACCTTGAGCTGAAGAGCTTAGGAACAGCGCCCAGGCCCAGAGTTCAAGCCCCATGACTGACAAAAAAAAAAAAACAAAAGCCCAACAAAATGAGTACTAGGGAATGGTACTTGTGAGGGGGGGTAGGCAAGAGGAGAGGGGTAGAATGGAGGGGGATATGAATAGAATGCAGGCAAGAATGCATTGTATATGTCACAGAACTGAGAAACATAAGGGAAGGCGAAGGTGAAAGGAGAGGTGAAGATTTTGAAGGAATGATATAGATAAAAATGCATTATAAGCCGGGCGCTGGTGGCTCACGCCTGTAATCCTAGCTACTCAGGAGGCTGAGATCTGAGGATTGCGGTTCAAAGCCAGCCCGGGCAGGACCGTGAGACTCCTATCTCCAATAAACCACCAGAAAACCAGAAGTGGCGCTGTAGCTCAAGTGGTAGAGCGCTCGCCTTGAGCTGAAGAGCTGAGGGACAGCGCCCAGGCCCAGAGTTCAAGCCCCACGACCGACAAAAAAAAATGCATTATATACATAAATTGCTTTGTTAAATGTCAAAAACTTCAATACACAACGTAAAAATTAAGAAACGTGAGGGAAAAGGTGGGATAGGAGGGGCGGGTGAGAATGTGGAAAGGGGTGACATTTGATCAAGAGGCACTGTATTTATAAACTGCTCTGTGGAATGGCAACTCCTTTGAACAACTACCTAAAGAAAATAAAAATATAAAAATATATTAAAAACTAATAAGCATGTGATGGGATAACATTTTTTAAAAACCCCAGCAATGCAATAACTCCTTCAAGATAGCCCCTCTGCTACATAGTTACAGATAGGCCATAAGTCTCGAGAGCAGGTAATGCATCACATTGAACTCCCCGCCAGCTGTGGGCAAGTTGAAAAAGGCGCCTGGCCAGGAGGGGCGGGGCCAGAGAACAGCCACTGGCGTTCACAGGCCTCCGTACGTAGGGGGCGGGACCGCTCGCCCTGATTGACGGAAGTCTCTTTTCTTTTGTTGGCAGTTCGCTTGTCCACGTCCGGAAGTCCCGCCTTCGGAAAAGGAAAGAACGGCACGCCGGCGTGCTGACTGTGACCGGGACGACTGAGGTGACCTAGGGTGAGGCGGTCGGCGGTAGGCAGTAGTTGGCGAGCTGTAGCGGGTCAGGCCGTCGGGAGCCGCCTGAGGCAGGAATTAGGTGCGGACGAGAGTGCTTGCTTACGGCCAGTGGGGGTCTGGGACCGGAGCTGGAACAGGTTTGACGCAGCGGCCAAGAAGGAGCGCACGTCGCCCGTGGCTGCCTTTTCCTCTCTTCTCAATTCCCGCGTTTGCGCCAGTCCATCCCGCGACCCCCAGCTCCCCGCCGAGGCCCCGGGCTGGGTGTTGGGTCTGGGGTCAGTGTGCTTCCCTGTCCCGCAGCCACCGCCGCCCGCAGGACCGCACCCTCCTCCTCCCGACGCTGCTCACACACCTCCGCGCAAATGCTAAATCTTTACTTAGAAACGTAGCCGAGGGTGGCATAGATTTTTGCCGTGTTTTCAAAGGGGCAGTGCTTTAAAGCTGTGTCTCAAAGGAAGTGAGCTTTCTAGATTTCCAGGGGAAGAAGAGGAAGGTCAGAGGTCGGTCAGGTTAAGAAAAATAAGGAACTAGTCTTCGTGTAAGCATCAGCATTAACCTGCCTCTTTGCTTTATGGCAGCGGGAACTTGAAAATTGAGATTCAACCCTGATTGTAACCATGGGTTCCTCAGTATCTACTCCTGCTGTTACTGTTCACATCCCAGACACTCCAGAGCAGCCAGCATCACCACCTTCAGGATGCCCAATGCAGCAAAAGCAAGGTAATTCACTCTTTGTCTACGTAGAACATAATTCTTACAAGGATCAAGAGGTAGAGGCAGTGTAGGGAGGCTTATAAGCCTGGAAAGGAAGTGCACTGGGGCTGGTCCTAATTTTCCACTTACTAGACTTGTAGGATTGTAGGCAAGTTACCTTTTCAGAGTTTCTGCCCATCATTTATAGGATGAGGCTGTAATATTTCATAGGGTTTTCATGTTGAGATAGTGCATGAAAGCATAGTGATTGGTTCATATGGTGGTTCTTTTTTTTTAAACAAATTTAAGTAGTTGTACAAAGGGGTTTCAACTCAATAATCTAGCTTATGAATACAATGCATCTTGATTCACCCCTCCATGTTCAATAGGGGTGAAAAGTACCATTTTCCAACATCCAAGGGACATTAGCTCATGTTGCCATAAATTTGTGGTTGTCATGACTGAGAAGAAAGGGTACTTTTGGCATGTAGTGGGTGGAGACCAGAGGTGTTGTTATGCATCCTACAATGCACAGGACAGCACCCCTTTTTCCCCAACGTAGAATCACCTGATTCCAATATGCTAATAATGCCAAGGTTGCAAAAGCTTAGGCCAACTCTAGCTGTCTCTGAATAAATGTAATTCCTGTTTCTATTGCAGTAGTTAGCTATGTGAAATTAAGCTATCACAAATGTGCTTGAATGTATGTCGAATTCTTCCAACACAAAATTGGAATGAAAAATTTCTCTTTTACTTTTCTTGTGTGTGTTAGTATTGGCGCTTGAACTCAGGGCCAGAGCTTTCTCCTTTACTTTTTTTTCCCTCAAGGTTGGAGCTCTACCACTTGAGACACTGCTCCACTTCCATTTTTCTGCTGGTTAATTGGAAATAAGAGTCTCATAGACCTTTCTGCCTGGGCTAGCTTTCAACTTCTATCCTCAGATCTCAGCCTCTTGAGCAGCTAGGATTAGAGGCATGCACTGGCTGCTGGCTTCAGTCCTTTACTTTTTAATTGGTGTATGTCTGCTAATACTTACATTGTAACTAGCCTACTCTTACAGGCCATTGTCTGTCTGTTCTGTGTCACACACAACTGGGGGTTTTTTATTCATTTGTTTCTACATTGAGAGAGAAGAATTCGTGAAAAAACACATCCTTGGCCTGATACATTCTCATTTTCATAATCCTATGTGGTAGGGGTTTTCCCCTATTATAATATTAAATCCAAGTCACATAGCTGTTAGTAAGTGGCAAAGCTGATGAAAATTGTGTGACCTTCAACAAGGTAGAGTGCTAGCTTTGAGCATAAAAGCTCAGGGGTAGTGTCCAAGATCTGAGTTCAAGTCTCAAGACTAGCACACATACATACAAAAGAAACATCCCTGTTTTATAAAGCATAAGCAGAATGGCACTTGAAATTTTTCTCCATTAACCTTTGTGAAGTTTTCTCTGCTCATCTGTACCCTCTCTCTGGTACCTGGGGAAGTATATCAGTAAAAGATACCTTGACTGAAGCTGTATCCTGATTGGGGCAGGGCATGTCTGCAGTTAACTGTGAGGAGTTAGAGAGACCTGGGAAAATGTGGTCCATCCTCCACTTGGATTTCTCTTTCAGCACTCACATATTGGTTGTAGCAAGTGCCTTCTAGTAGCCCCCTAATGACACTAGGACATGGGCAGCACATACTCTTACATCTGCTGAGAAGGTACTAATTTTTTTTGCTGGGTGCATGACGAATAATTAGAGAACGAGTACATGTTTCTTTTTGAGAAAGTACACTTGTACAGCTGCCTTCTAATTGTGATGATTTTAGAATGTTAGCTTAGTCTTTGGCAACTTGAAACAGGAGAAATCCAATTTTTCCTGTTGTGAGTAGAACTTTAGTTGTTATACACGTGAAAATGGAACTAGGGAACGTGAGGAGATGAGGGAAAATTATGAAAGGGGTGATATTTATCAAGGTGTATTGTGTTCATAAACAGCTTTGCAGAATTGAATCCCCTCTACAACTACTTGAAGATAGTAAGAAAAAATAAAGAGGAGAAAAAAGAAATTTAGCTCTTTAGGGCTCATTTGAAAAAGTCCCAATTCATGTTGTACCATAATGATGACACTATTTTAAATGATTATTTCAGGTTGCCCACTGAAAGCAGCAACATCTGATCCAGGCTGTGAGAGCAAAGTGCACTCTGTGCCTGCCCACCAAGAACGTGCCTATGAGTACGTGGAGTGTCCGGTTACTGGAGCTGGAGCTAAGAATAAGGAGAACCTGGATCCTTCCAATCTGGTAATATATACTTATCCCCTCTTCCTGGGGTGTTTTATGCAGAATTCTTCCAGAGACTTCTAAGACAACCTGTAGGCTACTAGGATTGATTCTTCTTTCCTTTGAAAATAAAGAAGTTTGCTATTTCATCCACACTGGGAGTCTAGACTGTGTGACCAAGAACAGTTTTTCAAGAGTTCCTGGAAAAGAACAATCAAAACAAAGAACCAGATTAGTTTTGTAGGAATAAGCTCTATCAAGAATACTTACTGTGCGATAGAGTTATTAGATGGCAGCAGGAAATTCTTCAAGAAATATAGCTAGAGGTTGTAAGACATTTTAGCATTAGAGAGCCTGGCAGGTGTGGTACAAGTGGGGTGCTTCTTTAGACAATTAGGAACCAACCTGCACGATAATCGCTAGAGTTGTGCAGTGCCATGTGGCTGCCAGCAGTTTAATGCCATCAAGAAATGACTACAAGGTGGCAGTTTTATGAAAGACAACAGAAGGAATTGTGGTTTCATTTTAATCAGCAGACAGACTTGGTTCTATACTTTAAAGATCCACGGGATTCTTATTATCAGTTAGATATTTTAGTGAACTGGGCAATATTTGAAGGTACTGAAAATATTTCTCTTGGAAGAGAAAAGTTGTGGGGGATACCTAGGAGAGGAGCTATGCTCCACTGGCTAAATCTGGCCTAGGGCCTGTTTTTGGAAATAGAATGTGTTGGCACACAACCATACCCATTCCTTTACTTATTGTTTGCCACTGCTTTCACACTACAGGATTTGAATCATATGAGACCAGTGGGCTTACAAATCCAGACTCCCAAGACAAATTGCAGACTGCTGGGATGCATTCTTCCATCCTTTGAAAATAAGAAAATACTGCATATCTGATTTCTGATAGGAACCGTTTGCCAGTGTCTGCTGGGCCAGATACTTGAAGGCCTTGTGAAAGACAGCTTGGTGCAGTACCCAGGGAGAAGTGGGTTGTGTCTACATTAACATCTTCTGTAAGGCAGTAGAGAATGAAACTTAGTGGAATGTGCCTCTATGTGGAATGGGCGCATAGATGAAGCGGTAGATGGCCTGTCTACTGGAAGCATTTAGTTAGTAAATATTTAGAGTACCCACAGCATGCTGGACTTTCTAGATTAAACATTACAAAGATGCATAAGGCACACCTTGTGCTCTCTAGTCATTCACATTCAAAAAGATGGGAGATGAGAAGCAACTGTAATTTGGTATGGTTAGTTATAGGGGATAGTTCAATATTATTTGAAAAAGACTAATACCCAGACTTCAAGAATAGGGAAGGAATTAGGGTCAAACCTCAGTGATGACCTTGCCATTGTTATAAGGAAACTGCTGTATGGAAGAAGTTGCCTGAGAAGAGGGTTTCTTACCTGTGGGGCTAGTGACATTTGGGGCTTGATGATTCTTTATTGTGGGGGCTGTCCTTACATTGGAGAATGTGCACTAGCACCCCTGGTTTCTACCTACTAGATGCCAAGAGGAACTTGTTTTTTCAGCTGTGCCAGCCAAAACATCTCTAGACTTTGCCAAGAGGACTAGGAGACCACTGGTCTAGATTAGCTCAGTGGCCTAATGCATGCATGGAGAACATGTGGCCCAAGGGCCGTATAAGGCCTGCAAAGTTATTTGTACAAGATGGGGCAGATATGTCCACTTCATCTCAACTGCCTGTGGCCATCTACCTATATTGATAATTTTGTGTGGCACATTAGTGATGTTATAAATATCCAAATGGCCCTTGGCAGCAAAAAGTTCTCTGCCATTGCCTTGTGGTTCAGAACAGATTTAGACAGACTTCTTTTTTCTAGTCGTGGGGCCTAGGCACTGTCCCTGAGCTCTTTGCTCAAGTCTAGCACTCTATTACTTTGAGCCACAACACCACTTTTAGTTTTCTGGTGCTTTGTTGGAGATAGGTGTCTCACAGACCTTTTTCCCTGAGCTGGCTTTGAACCATGATCCTCAAATCTCAGCCTCCTGAGTAACTAGGATTACAAGTGTGAGCCACCATCACCTGGCTTAGACTCACATTCCAAGGACTGTTGTGTGTAATGAGAATATTAATAACAGCTAACTTTTCTTTCATTTCTGTAGTATTTGAGCTAAGCATCATATGTTATCTCTTGTAATTATAACAATTTTGTGTTGTCAGTATTTTTAGTGTTCTCATTTTAAGAGCTACAGATACTGGGAATGAATGTGCAGTTTCTCCCACATGATTCAGCTAGGAAGTGGCAGGGCTAAAACTGAGTACCATCACATCAGAACTGGGTCCTTAAATGCACTATGGTGACAATGTAGGTAATCAATGCAGTGCTTACCTCACACAGCTCTCCGGCTGTCATTTTTAACTAGGACAGTGTTGTGGTGGAAACTTTTCATCATTCATGTGTATCTGTAGGAATGTCCTTTATATTTCTACTGGAAAAACAAGTTCTGGGCCCATTGTTCTCAACATGGGGTGATTCTTCCAGCTTGCTGTCTGGAAACATTTTTGTTTTTCAAAACTGGGGAGGAGAAATACTACTGGATAGACACCAGGGATGATGCAAAATATCTTATGATAATCAGATTGACCTTTGTAACCAAAAATTAGCCTGGAAGTTACTGGAGCCAAAGATGAGATACCTAAGCCTAGGCTAAGGTGTGAGCAGAATGCTATTGCTGACTCCTGTCTAGAAGAGGTTCTCCCTCACCTGCTGATTGGGTTCTGTTGAAATACAAATACTCATGTGCTGTGTTCAGCTCAAAGGGGTGAGACATAAACAGGATCACAAAAATAGAGAATGTTTCAAAAGAAAATAACAATATAGGGCAGTCTGAGACTTTTTCTCAAAAGAAGGAATAGTCATTTTAGAGAAGCCTGTCATTAAAAAATACCCACAGATCAGATTAGTTTTTGCTGCTCTTTTCTTTGATGACATTGCTTCTAAATTTGTTCAAGGGAGAAAGACTAAAAATTTAACCACAGTGTCTATTCACCATTCATGAGAACTTCATCAATGAGAAATAACAACTTCAGTATTCCGACTCTTCAAAAACTGCCAGAAAATCTGCAAGGTTTGAAATTTTTATGTCACTGGTTTAATGGGCACTTATGCTGTACATGTGATACATTGCTTTCTAGTAAGTACTTAATGATATTGCTTGGTTTTACTTATGTTAGTAGCATTTTAAAAAAAAAAACAAATCCACTGACTTAATTTAGATGCCACCACCTAATCAAACACCAGCCCCAGATCAGCCGTTTACACTGTCTACCGTCAGAGAGGAGTCATCCATTCCAAGAGCGGATTCAGAGAAAAAGTGGGTTTATCCTTCTGAACAGATGTTCTGGAATGCAATGTTACGCAAAGGGTAAGCGAGTGAGCATACTATTTAGAACAAAAACTTGTTTGTCAAATTTATCTAAGAACTCAAAGAGGTTTTTATCTTCAAAACATACAGTAATTTGTAATGAGTTAATGAGCTTAAAAGAAACAACTGAATTATCATTGTAAATCCAAGGCAGTGCTCAAGGTCAGAGTTCTCCAGAGAAACAACCAGAAGTATAGGTAAGTATGTGTAGAGCAGGGAGGATAGAAAGAGATTGATTGGTTAGTTGATTGAGATTGATAGGTTGATTGCAAAAGGGATTCAGTTTAGCACTTCAGTTTATGAGTCCCATGGTTCCCTTTAATCTTTAATTCTAGTGCATGTGTAGTAGCTTTAGATTTATAGCACAACTGTAGATCATAAGTAAATCTTTTATTTTTTATTTTTTTTGAGTCCAGTTGTGGGGCCTGAACTCTGGGCCTGGGCACTGTCCCTCAGCTCTTCAGCTCAAGGCTAGCGCTCTACCACTTGAGCCACAGCGCCACTTCCGGCTTTTTTCTTTTTGCTTATGTGGTGTTGAGGAATCGAACCCAGGGCCTCAGGCATGCAAGGCAAGCGCTCTACCACTGAGCTACCTTCCCAGCCCCCATAAGTAAATCTTAACAACATTAAGTTCATAGTAAAGGGGCATTCATAAGTTTTTCATAAAGAGCAATAATAATCATCTTTTGAATATGTGGATTAACTTTTTGGCATTATCAGTGATAAACAAATTTTACCAAATGTTCTTTCTTAGGTGGAGGTGGAAGGATGAGGATATTAGTCAGAAGGATATGTACAATATCATTAAGATTCATAATCAGAATAACGAGCAGGCTTGGAAGGAAATTTTGAAGTGGGAAGCTCTTCATGCTCAGTAAGTATATCGGATACCTTAACATTTTTTTCTTCCAGCATCTTCTTAAATTTCATATCGGCTTTCTAGAGTGATATTTTATTCAAGTATTTTCTTACTCTTATATATAGCAGTCACATTCTTTTGTTGAAAGATTCCTTCTCTAGTCATGTAGAAGACAGCAATGGTTTTAATCAGGCTTGTGCGCTTGGTGAGTCCAGAATGCAGACAGACAGAACAGACATGGTTTGTCTCTCTGCTCATTAATGTTCAGTGCTTCGGCTGAAAGGTGGTGATCAGAGATGGCTTCATTAGCGGTGGGTAGAGTTCTCTGCAGGTGTGGTCATTTACTTAGCTGACAAGCTGGGCTGGCCAGGACTCCTATTCATGGCCTTTAAATGTGGCTCTTTCAGCTTTGTCACATCATGGTGACTAGGTCCTGGAGTCTCAGAAAGCCCCAGGCAGAAGTTGTCTCACTTTTTCTGACTTAGAGTCATAGCCTCTTGAGTACGCTCCTATTGACAGGATTGGAGACCCTATCTCAATGGGAGAAGGGTGGCTATCTACTGAAAGCAGTGCATGTGGAATGGTAGGTACTAAAATGCCATCTGTCTTAGGAAAGTTGGGGGAAAAATGATTTTGTTTTTCACTCAACAGTATTAACCGACTAGGACTAATGTAAAGGAGATACTTTAACATGGACTTCTTGTCTAGTGCAGTTGCATTTATTCCTAGAGATGGGATCTTTGTCTATAGATAAGAGTGTTTTTCAACATCGCATGGAATGTTTGTCCCAATTCTGTGCTGAGCCCACCCTCAAAGAGACTGACTTAGCCAGTCTTGTCCAGGGTGGGGCTCTGACTTGACTTTTTTTGACTTTTTATGGAGTGCTGCTGCCACCGCTTCTGTGAGGACTACAGCTCCAAAAGAATAGGGCAGGCTTGTCTGCACAAACTACCATGCCATACTATAATCTCGTTCATATTTTAAATTTGTCAGAGTGGGATTAATCCGTTTCTTGGCTATAAAACCATTGATTTAATCTTTTAGAAAAAGTTTTCTCTTTGCTTTTAAAATTTACACTCCACACTTTATCAGTAACAGTTTTGGATGTCACTGGCTGGGTCTAAGGCCTTGGGATGGGTGCAAGTGAGAGGGTACTGACACTGCAACCACAGTCCTTGTCATTAACCCCTGGCCTGGATCGGTCACCCTCCTGGCTTGATATTGAGGGAGCCACAAGAGTCCACAGTGACCTAGGTTGCAAGTAATTAAAACCATCTGCCCATCTACTTGTTGTGGGAATACAAGGTACAGACAAGACACTAAAGAGAATTTCCTTAGTCAGTTTCTAACAAAATTAGATAAGGCTTCAAAAATTCAATATTAAGGTCTCTAGGAGGAAGTTTGCCTGCATAAGTTTATTTCTTTGTGACTCTTAAGAAGAGATATTAAAATACAAGTTTTTTTGTCTTTATTGTTTTTGTTTTCTTTTTGTTTGTTCATTTATCTGTCTTTGGGAGGCTGAAGGGGGCGCAGAAATGGATGGACAAAGGGTGAGCAAATGCAGCAGTGGTATTCACTAGACACTATGTGGAAAATGAACTGTACAGCTTACGCATGGGTATAGCAGGGAAAAGCTGGGAAAGAGCAAGGGAAGGGGTAACATTGTCCAAAAATGTTCTCTTTACCTAATTTATGTAACTGTAACCACTCTGTACATGACCTTTACAACAATAATAAAAATAGTTTTTTTAAAAAATAGAGATATTAAGAAGTCAGTATCTCCTATGGTCTTCAAGTAGAGCTCCATTATTCTCTCCATTTTCCCCTCACACTTCATTAGAGAGCCAAGCCTGTATTATCTAAGAGAGAGTTAAGAAGATAACCTTGAATCAGCACTGACCTTCACCCCCCTCCCCCCCGCCACTGTTCAGTTGAGGAAACAGTTTTGTATTTGTCATGTTGTCATGTTTCAGTAGAGGACCCGCCATCCCCTCAGGAGTTTCTCAGTCAGGGTCTGTGGGCAGAGGAAGTAGATTGTCTAGCTAGGACCATCAGCTATGTGCAATCATTTACTTAAGAAATAGAGATGTATCCATCATTTTCTCTCTCCATAAAGGCTGCTAATTGGTTTGAAATGAATCAAGAGTATAGTTATCTTGTAATAAGTAAAGAGGGTTGATTCCAGGACCCCCAAAGATACTAAAATTTACAGGTATTTTCAAATCCTTTGTATAAAATGGCTTAGGATTTGCATATAACTTATACACATCTCACGCATTTTAATAATACCTAAGGTAATGTCAAATGCTATGTATATAGTTGTTATATTATTTAAGAAAACAGTGACAAGAAATAGTTTATACATGCTTAGTACAGACTCAGGCTTTTTCTCTTGTTTTTATTGTGTCTGTGGTTGATTGAATCTTCAGGTGTGGAGCTCATGAATACAGAGGGCCAACTATATAGGATATTTTTATGTTTGTCTGAAAAATTCCCCACTTCTTTATGTAAAAGAGAAGCAAGATACATGGTACAATCAGCTCATCTTATTCACAGACTTATTACGAGTGGTTTGGACCAAGCACAGTCAAAAAATATTTTTAAGAATATTGAAACAAGTTTCAAAAGCAATATATTGCACTATATGCATTACATAGCACGGTTGATTCAGAGAAGTCTCAGTTGGCCCTCTGTTATCAAATGGGTTCAAATCATTATGTGGTCAACTGAGTGTGTGTCTGCTCTTAATTTTGTGAAGATCTGCTTTCCCAAAAGCAAATGGTACCAAAAAAAGCAAGGTAAAAGTTATGGTACTCTACCCAGGATGAAAAGGGTAAGTATTGTGCTTAATTTATGTGATAAAGTGAAACTTTTAGGTTTATTGAAAGGCAGCATGTCTTTAGTAGAAATTGGGTAGCTTTATAGGAAAAATGTGTCAATCCTCTAGTATTCTAGAGCATGAAATAAGATTTAACTTTTGGTGAACAGCAGTATTAATGTGTACAATAGTAATTTTTGTGATAGTAAATGTAGCCTGCTCCATGTGATTTTACGTTTTGGATGCTCAGATTTTATGTATGATATAAGTAAATTTGAGCAATTTTTGGGGGGGGTCCAGTTGTGGGGCCTGAACTCTGGGCCTGGGTGCTGTCCCTCAGCTCTTCAGCTCAAGGCTAGCACTCTACCACTTGAGCCACAGCACCACTACTGGCTTTTTTCTTTTTGCTTATGGGGTGCTGAGGAATTGAACCCAGGGCCTCATGCATGCAATGCAAGCGCTCTACCACTGAGCTACCTTCCCAGCCCCAATTTGAGCAATTTTTGAGTGCTGAACTCTATGCATTCTGAGCATTCTTGTGTTTTTCTCAGTAGCGGTCTCCTTGGAACCAAATATCCATAAATGCAAATGTCTACTGTATTTACCTCTTGTTTGTTTTGTCTGAAGATGTGTCTATGCACCGGCTCCAACTGGAAAGGCCCTGGGTTCCAACTTCTGCCAAGGAACCAGAAAGAAGGCTTCCTGCACAGGAAGTGAGATATACCCAGTTCATAAGGGAAGAGAAATGTTTTAACAAAATAGATCGTTACCTTGAATTACCATTTTTATAAATGTGATAATCTGTGAAAAACATACAGAAAAACATGTATATTACTCAAAAACTAGAACATTGTCAAAGGGGAGAACATATTTTTATAGATTTATTTTTATTTTATTTTTTAGTGAGTGTCCTTGTGGACCATCGTTGGTCCGATTTGGAGGTAAAGCAAGAGAATATTCTCCAAGAGCAAGAATTCGTTCCTGGATGGGGTACGTGTCAGTGTGGAAATGGTATTTTACATTCTTCAGGTTATAGACAACTTTACAAAAAGAGTTTTAGTAGGGATTGATTTTTGTGTAAAAGATTAAAGTAGGGAGAAAGAGAAGAACACATATCTTGCTCCTTAAGCAGTTACAGACCCAAATTGATAGCCATTACCTGCTGCCTTTATTCTTCCTGAGCTGGCAGAATACACATTTGTGATATCTAGCAATTCCTAACCATTAGACAGTAATTCTGAGTGGCCAACATGGGTGTTACTTTTTACCCTGTTTCTGTGACTACCTGGACAATAGGCTTTGGGGCTTTCTTTTTCAGATAATCTCTTTTTCTTACTCTCTCTACATGGGCAACTTTCTTTTACCACCAAAACCCAAGTTGTTGTTTAGTTCTAGATTTCTTCCTTTCCTTGAGTTTTCGATCATTAGTGGGCAATCATTAGTGTGTAGCAGCTAGCTTCTTACTTAATTCTCCAAGGGTTAAATTGAGCTCTTGTCTGGATTCTTGGATCCATTCTTGTGATCCTACTATGGTCTTTGATTCAGTTCACTGAGGGCTCCTTTCTCCTCCAATGTAATCTGGATTCTTAGCATACACTTGAGTTTCTGCAGCTTCTTAGCCTGGATCATGTGTTAGTCCCATGGTCCTGTCACAGCTTTCCAGTACCATATTCCTTTCCCACTGTAGCCTGTGATTTCTCTGAGTCTCACCTCCCCACTGAGATGTTTGGTGCCAAGAGCTGCTTCTCACCTTTCTCATTGCTTAAAGAGGGACTGAGTACATAGCCAGTGTTTTAACACTTGAGTACATGCTGGTACTTTTGTTCCAGGTATGAGTTACCTTTCGACAGGCATGATTGGATCATCAACCGTTGTGGAACCGAAGTTAGATATGTGATTGATTACTACGATGGAGGCGAGGTCAACAAGGACTACCAGTTTACAGTCCTAGATGTGCGTCCTGCTTTCGATTCGCTCTCTGCAGTATGGGATAGAATGAAGGTTGCTTGGTGGCGCTGGACTTCATAACTACCAGTTGGTTTGTGATGAAAAAAACATTATAAGATATTTTTTTCAGAGAGATAAGTTATTTTCCCAAACTGAATTGCACTCATGATGTCACAGGATTTTAAGTGGTAATCATACCTGATCTCCCACTTACTGAAGGATGCCATGTTGCATTAACTTTTGAGTCACCTTGGCCTTGCAGTTTATAAGCAAATCATTTTAAGTTTTCTTCCCATTTCAAATGGGAAGCAGTCCCTGCATTTTTTATTTTAATTGTGGTATTTCCTGTGTATTTTAGTGAACAGCCTCTGACAAAGAGCTTTTATAAAACTGATGACCACTGACTGCTTGTAGCTTACTATTTTCTCAGAAATACTTGGGATGTGAGGCCTGAAAGTCACTGTGCTGTAACCTGGTTAACTAGATTAATTCAAAGTCTCCATGATAAATAAGAAGTATCTATGCTTTTTAAGAAGGTGACAGTATTTCTAAAGTCCCTATAATCTAGTAGTGACTCTGCACACTATACAGAAATGCACCCAGCAAGACTAGCTTTCCAAATTCTCATTTAGATGAAATTTTTAGACAGGACCTCGTTAAAGAAGTTTCAATTCACTATGAGGTGATTACATATGCTTCAGAGCATTAAGTTTTCAAATAGTTTTTCTTTGATTTTGGTGATTCTAAAATATAATTGCTCCCCCAGAAGAGCTCTCATTGTCCTTGACATTTGGCACATTATCCCAACTTTTGAGTCCCACCCCCACCCTCAGTCTTCCTCCCATTTGTCCTAATCCAAACTTTGAAAGCTTAGCTTTCACAATGACAGTGATGCTCCCTTCTCTAGCACATGATTATATTTAGCTGTTAAATTTACAACAGTATTTTTCTCATCAGTTCACTGTTCATTTTTTTCTTATGTTAAGAAAGCTCTAAGTTTGCTGTTGAAATGCCTTATATCAAGAATCCATAAACTGCTTGGTCTTAGCATGTTACAAATTCCTGTTGTTTCTTGAAAGTGTAGATGATAAATCTTTTCATTTTCCTGATACTGTAGTGTTAAATGAGTGGAAGGAGTTGGCAGTCTGAGTGATTAATTTAGTATGGATTTGTTGTTTCAGTTTTGTGTGATGTTTAAGAAAATCCAACAATCTTAAACTCTACATGTTAAAATATTTGTATATTTTTAAATAAAGCTGCTAGTTAAGAAGTTTTGAAAATTTTTTCGGAGTAACAGAGTTACTGTTTTTTCAAATGTACAGTCTTTACAGAGGTAATGTTAGTTTCCAAACTTAAACCAGCCCTTTTCTCAGTGTGTTAGTCATGTATTTTTAAACTGTATAGGAAAGTAACTAGAAATACTGTAAAATGATGTCTGAGAGCTTTGAAAATAGAGCCAGCAGGTGGTAAATACTGAGTAACCCAGTGACTAAAAAGTGAGCCTGTGACAAGGCCAGAAATAAGTGCTGAGACATTGTCCACAGCCCAACTATTGTTTGTTTGGCTCTACTTTCCCAAGAACAATCTAGAAGGTTAACATTAGGCTCTATTCCTCATTTGGGTCAAATGTAAAGACTACCAGGTATTTGGATGCATGGCCATGTTACTTAAAATCACTAATGGTGAAATTTTTTAAATAGATAAATACAAGATGACATTTGGTTAGTAGTATTTTAGCATGACATAACCATTGGGCTGAAGTAAAGATTATGATTAAGCTCTTAGCCTTTCCAATCTAAGCTACCAGTGTAATTGCAGAAACTAAATAAGAATTGTTAGGAAGGGTTTTAAAGGAGAATCAAAAAAGATGATTACAAAGCTGGGAAGCACTGGGAAAATACTTCCCAAATCCAGAATACTTTTTGGGTCACTGCTTTGTAGCTGTTTCTTAAATGTATTTTTTCAAAAAAAGAGAGGACTGAAATCATATCTACTGTGCCATGGATATGGTTCACGTTAACGGGATGAGGTAGTGTTATTTACACTACCCAGAAAAGCATATGGCCTTGCATCCACGTTGAGAAACTAGAGAATGCTGGATGATGTTTATACACATTTACTTAAAATCTAACATGTAATCATTTTATAATTTCCTGTTCTAGCCGGATGTTTTTAAATGTATGATTCAAAATTGTTCAGAGTTGTACATTACAGCATTATTTGAGATTTTCTTACCTTTCCCCTGCAGGTCTCTCCCTGTTGTGCTTTTTGCCAGTAAGATGCTTAGACTTCTGTGTAGATCAGAGTCCCCTGGAAACCTTGTTAAAACACAGATGGCTGGGCACCAACCCAGAGTGTTCCTTTTCCTGTAGGGCCAGGGCAGCTGAGAATTGGCCTTTCTAATGAGCTCCCAGATGTTCATGCTGCGGGTTTAGGGATGGTTTGAGCCTCCTTTCTGGCATCCTTTAAGGCCTTTGAGCTTCCACTCACCCCCACTGTTACAGTTGTGTTTACAGTTGCTACATATTCACATAGTCATGGGTCAGAGTATCAGAGCAAATTTAATGAAAATTGGATGTTACTTTCCCAGTTTTACTTATTTCCTATTTCTTCTTTAAAGCCACTTTACTGCCTGCAGTTCTGAACATTGCATTTTACCATGTTTTTTCCCTTTTGTTGTTTTGGGCTTTTTTCCCCTTTTATTATTTGTTTTTGGTGTATGCCAGTATTGGGGCTTTGGGCTCTCCCTTGGCTTTTTCCACTCAAGGCTGGCACTCTATTACTTGAGCCACACCTTCACTTCCCACTTTTTTGCTGGTGAGTTAGAGATAAGGGTCTTTTGAAGTGTTCTTCCTGGGCTGGCTTTGAACCATGATCTTCAGATCTTAGCCTCCTGAGTAGCTAGAGTTGCAAGTGTGATCCACCAACAAAATTTGTTCCTTGGAAAGTTCATTTCCTATGACTTGTAAGTGATGACAGTAGAACAGAATGACAGTGGGGTAAAGGCAGTGGTCCTCCGGTTTGGCTCACACAGGAATCCCTGTTGTCTTATCTACCTGCTCCTATGTGTGTGTATTGTGCTGTCAAGAAGAAAACACTTTGAGGGTGGTCACTCCCTTGAGTAGGCAAGATAGTCTGTGTCAGTGTAATACTTGACCTTTGCTCACTGTCTTAGTTTGCCTCAGTGACCATAACCAAATGCCACAGATGGGAGTAGCTAATATAACAAGAATATGTTCTTCTACATTTTTGGAGATCAGAACTCTGAAAAGCCTAAAGGTGTCAGCAGAGCCATGCTCCTCCTGTGTCTCTGTTCCATAACTTTCTTTTAGCTTCCAGCAGTTTTTGGTTTTGTGGCAGAGTAATGCTAATGTGCACTCCAATTTCCTCTTTTTATTAGGACCCCAGTTAGACTGGAGTAAGGTCTTTCCCAAGTTGCTCAGCTTGATTATATTCAAAGATCTTATCTCCAAATAAAGTCATGTGGGTTTCAACATTTTTGTGGGAGGGGGCAACACAATTCAACCCATAATACTTGCACAGAATGACAAGAGCTTACCACCCATTGGCCATACTCAAATGAGTCTCTAGTTGATTGTTAGTGAGAAATTGGAACAGTCAGCGAGGGGCATTGGGTTGGTTATAACTGAGAGTCCTGGAACAGTCTACCCAGTTTCCCTGGAACTGGTGTATCATTCTTACCTGTCCTTCAACTACTGATACCTCATTCTTGTTCTAATCTAGGTCTGTAAGTCTCCTATTCTCTAGGCTTTCAAGGTCATTTTATGTTAAGTCCTAGGATTCTTTACCTGCATCTTGGAGGATTCTTTACCTGCATCTTGGAAAACAGGAATATCTCCCAAACATTCCTACCTCCTAAAACAATCACCATGGAGGTTATGAATTTTGAGAAGATACACATACTTGGAACATAGCAGCAAGAGAATCACATAGTTGATATCAGAATAAGAAAAAAATTTGAGGAGAGACAGAAACAAATGGAAGAAGCATATAGAAGGAGATAGGTGAGTACGTTTTGCCTATCAGACACTGGCACGCTCGGATAACAGCAGTGCACTTTTTCACTTTTTTTTTGTTTTTGAAATTATATTCAGATGAGAAAGAGCCTTGCGGAGGATCCATTGCCTTATGAAATGGTTTCAGACTAAGGCCCTTGCCTTGCATGCATGAGGCCCTGGGTTTGATTCTCAGCACCACATAAGCAGAAAAGGCTGGAAGTGGCACAGTGGCTCAAGTGGTAGAGCCCTCGCCTTGAGTTTTCAGGAAATAGGAGATAAAAACTCCAGGTATATGTTGATTTGACAGATTATGAGTTGAGAACTATTAATCATTTGATCTAATGAAGTCATAGTTGGAGCTGTTTGAAGTAGAAGAAAATTGGAAGACAATGCTAGACTCCTAAGTGCGCTTAGTTAATAAACATGTTAATTTATATGATTATTAATTGTAATTCAACTCATTCTCCCCCATAAATTTGCTATCTAAATTAAAAAAAATTAAGACCTTTGACATTTAATTGTAGCTTCCCTTTTTTTTATTTCAGTAGAAAATAGACAGGGCACTCACTTCCTTAAGATACTACAGTGATGTTGCCAATCAGAGGTAGGAACTCTCCCCACTCTTCTCCTCAGAGACTATCTTGCTGAGCATTATTTTTTTTTGATGGTGGTACTGAGATTTGAGTTTAGGGCCACATGCTTGTCAGGAAGGCATTCTACGACTTGAGCCACACCTCTGGGCCATTTTGTGTTTTATTTTTTTTGGGGGGTCCGGTCGTGGGGCCTGAACTCTGGGCCTGGGCGCTGTCCCTCAGCTCTTCAGCTCAAGGCTAGCACTCTACCACTTGAGCCACAGCGCCACTTCCGGCTTTTTTCTTTTTTGCTTATGTGGTGCTGAGGAATCGAACCCAAAGCCTCAGGCATGCAAGGCAAGTGCTCTACCACTGAGCCACCTTCCCAGCCCCTTGTGTTTTATTTTTGAATGGTGTCTAGAATTCTTTCCCAGGCTGGCCTTGACCTTGATCCTCCTATTTATGCTTCCTGCATAGTTGGGATGACAGGTGCATGCTACTGGCTACTGCACCCATCTGTTTTTGTTTTTGTTTTGGTCGGTCGTGGGGCTTGAACTCTGGGCTTGGGTGCTATCCCTGTGCTCTTCAGCTCAAGGCGAGCACTCTACCGCTTCAGCCACAGTGCCACTTCGGGTTTTCTAGTGGTTTATCAGAGATAAGAGTCTCACCAACTTTCCTGCCCGGGCTGGCTTTGAACCATGATCCTCAGCTCTCAGCCTCCTGAGTATCAGCTAAGATTACAGGCGTGAGCCACCGGCGCCCGGCTCCATCTGTTTTGTATTGGTTGAAATGAGGTCTTGAGGTGAACTTTGTGCCCAGGCTGGTCCCAAACTGAAATCTTTATGCCTCACAAGTGGCTTGCATTGCAGTCTTGAGTCATTGTGTTCTGGCTTGAGCCTTATTCTTTTAAGACTCCAATAATCAATCACAATTTCAGGCCTAAATATTATCCAAACAGCAAGTGGCACAGTTTGGTATCTTGTGACTAAATCCTGGTTCCACCACTTTCTAGCTATTTGACCTTGGACAATTCATTTGAAGTCCCTCTGAGTTAATCATGCCCTGTGGAAAATTAGGAGGTTAGATAAGTTACTGTATGAAAAACAAACTAGGGTAGAAGTCATTCATAAATGTTAGCAAATAGTACTTGCATTCCATGAGCGGAGATTTCCCATTTTTGTTTCTAAAATGGTCTCACAAGGTATATCAGTTACACTGCCAATATTGACTATTTGCTACATGGCTGGTTCTAGTCTAGGTATTTTCTTGTGTTATTCTCAGAACAATCCCAGGAGTTTGGTGTATTATTGCCTGACTACTCTAAAAAAAAGAAAGGTGCAAAAGCTTAAGTAAATTGCCCAAGATCACCAGCAGCAATTAGAAGGCAGAGCAATAGTCAAGCCCTGTTCTCCCCAGTTCTGAGGCCTACACCTTGAAATACTGATTTTTATTCAGTGCCTGAGTGTTCATTGAAAACTAACCAGAGAGCACAGAAATATACATTCCTTACCTGTTTTACTGTTAATATTTCAGTCATAAGAATGAAAAGGCAAGGTGTCATGAACCACTCACTTTTTCATTCTCATATGACACAGGACTAGGGGGCTGTGTGTCTCTGTGCTTGCTACTAGCTTTTCCTCAGACTCTTACCTTCCATTTTTTAATTAAGAAAATAGATCCATA